GGTGTTTGGGTTAGGGTTAGGGTTAGGGTATGTATGAAGTACTGGGCGGGGTGTGGCTGGGTTAGGGTTAGGGTATGTATGAAGTACTGCACCTGGGCGGGGTGTGACTGGGTTATGGTTAGGGTTAGAGAAAGGGTTAGGTTAGGTTAGGGTTAGGGTTAGGGTATGTATGAAGTACTGCACCTGGGCGGAGTGTGGCTGGGTTAGGGTTAGGGTTAGGGTAAGTATGAAGTACTGCACCTGGGCGGGGTGTGGCTGGGGTGTTTGGAGACGTAGGCGAGACACTCGCTCTGCAGCCGTGAGTCCTGCACCAGTGTGTGGATGTCGGGCGTGCAGACGTACACGTTGGAGTACTGGAAGATGGGCAGCAGCGTGATGACTCCGTAGTACAGCATGTTCTGCACACAGATGCGCACCAGGTTGATGTCCACATCTGCCTCCTGAGCAATCCGCTGCACGTGGTTAAACCCGTCAATGTACGGCAGGATCTGCTGGGTGGTCAAGTCCCACTGGCTCGATACAAACGACTCCTGGGGGGAAACAACCACAAACATTTATACTTATACACCGTCCTTACCATTTATTACATACATGATGTATGTCAGCAACAGTACAGTAGGCATGTATGTATGTAGAATCTGCTGGGTGGTGAAGTGCCACTGGCTGGACACAAACGACTCCTGGGGAGGAAAACAATAAAACAAACATTTGTCTATAATGTTACAGGATCAGCAACGGTACAGCAGACATGTAAGTATGTAGGATCTGCTGGGTGGTGAGGTCCCACTGGCTCCATACAGATACATGTATTACCAACACACTTTCAAGACTGTACCTTCTCTTAACGAAGGAACACAGGCACATGGTGCTTAAGACTTTATAGTACCTTATCTTTAAGGAAGACGGGCACGTGGTGCTCGAGCACGACGGGAGGCTCCTCGGAGGTTGGGACGATCTTCAGGTGCAGCGTGTTGGACTCGTTGATGGGGACGCTGCAGGTGCCACAGGTGTTCAGCTGAGTCAGCAGTTCCTGGGGGCGGGAACAAAAAATTTCTCATGACTGTCTTTCAGTACCTTGTTTCTTTCTTTCTACCTTTTACAATCTACAAAACATTTATCTTAAGTCCTTGTACTAGAGTACTTAAATATTCATATCTGTGACGTGTTGAGATACAAAATCACCCACCCATGCCAGCCCACGTATCTGTATAGCCGGTATAACCGCCCTTCGGCATAACACACCAGCTTCACAGGCACTCGGTGCGGCAGCAGCTGGCTAGATTTCATCCATGATTTCACCAAATGACTTGTTAGTTACACCTAACCCTTGAACATCTAACTCTAGACATTGTTTTTTTTTTTTAAAGCTAATAAACTTAAAAGCTATCTAATGATAGTGCCCCTACTGTACTTCTGTCCTTGATGACAAGTTCCACTCTGCGATAGTTCTAAAGAAAGAATGAATTTTTGAACACCTCTAAAGAAAACAACAACAACGGAGGTACAAAAACACATCCCCACGCCCCCTGCCACGCCCCCTCCCCTCCCACCTTCATGACTTGCGGCAGCTTCTGTTTGCTCTGCTCGTCCGACAGAAACCCGGTCTCCAGCTCCAGGGTCGTCAGATATCCCGCCAGCTTCTTCACCACGGGCTCGTACCGCTGACTGTCGGCGTCCGACCCGAACACGAAGCACAGGTTAAACAGCAGCGCGTTGCGAGAGTACTTCGCGTTCTGGATAGACACCGGGCAGCCTGGAAGTAGAAACATCACACAAAAACAGTCACAAAGTGTTAAATACTGTACCTAGAGAGAAAATCGACTTTGAACTGACCCATGCGCAAGCCAGCACCAAGAGAACACGTCTAGCGATATATTATGAGACGTTGAACCAATGAGCTTCCATCGTAAATTCAGGTAAATTCAGGTAAACAAGGACAACAACAACAAACCCAACAACCTACCTATGATTCTGTGTCCTAGGGCGTCCAGCGTAATCAGCTTGTTCTGCAGCTGTGGCTTCGTGATGATGTAGATGTGCACAGAGTCGAACAGTTTCTGCGAGATGTAGTCCTCGGGAACCTGGAAGGTGATTTTGGGCCCCGCGACGGGGTGGAATTCGCTGAAGAAAATGCAGCGGATTTTATTCCGCCCGTCCGCCATCTTGGCGCGGAGTGATAAACCGTCAACCGGCGTAAAGCGCCCTGGTTAACTAGTTAACGATTAGTTATCATCATTTGAAGATAATTTGCGATAATAAAGCTCAATTCGCTTTTAATTAAACAATCACGACTCTTTTTGAACCGTTTTGCGATGCAATTATGAGTACTTAATCGTCTTATGATGTATGTTGTTGGTACTATTTTATTAAGCGTGAGTGTGCGGTGTGTTGTACGCCCCTTCCGTGTTGCATGGCCAGTTGGTCGAGTTGACTGGACCACAGAATCCGCGAAGTTTCCCAGCATATGCACCCACTTGGCGGTTTGTTTCAGCACATCTGAGGGAGAGTTCACATCTAGAAGACAAGGTAAGGGGACTAAGGGGCTGTCGTCTGCGTCTGAAGCTGAAGGGCGGGTATTTTGTCGCGTTTGGAGTGTCGCATGTAGGCCGCATGGTTGCGTCATGCACCGCCCCCCTCCCCACACAGACTTGCCCTGCTGGGCTGGTTTATTACACTGTGCCCGGCCTATCCCGGCTTTGTCATTGTAATCAGTGACGCAATCGTGAGAAACACCATTATAAAGATTTCGTCATTCTAGCAACCATATAAAACTCAGCCTGTTCACAATGTTATAGTATTCTGAATATTCCCATATTCCTGACTGAAGCCAGTATCTACAGTGAGTAGGTTTGAATATATTTCAGTCTGTATTAAATTTTACCTGGTTTCTCCTTTATTCGTGACTCTGTCTTTCTCCTCTCTGTTAAAGCTGTTCTCCATAAAAAGTTACCTCCTCTCCATCCAAGATGACAGGCGATCTGGTCAGTTTCTCTCCATTTTATTTTCTGTTGTCATTTTCTTTCTGTTTGCATCACTTTTTCTCTTTGCTTTCATTTGTTCAGTTCACTGTGTGTCCAGTTTCAGTCTTTTTTTCTGCGTGTTCTCATCAATAATTGTCACATCCATTGAAGTTTGTTTTACTTGAGCGGGAGCAGTCAAAACTGGACGGCAGTCCTACCCAACTGAAAACTCTACTCTCTACTCTACTCTTGAAAAGTTAATTTGAAGACCAGAGGTCTGGTTGGAGATAGAGAAAGCAGCAGGTGTTCCCCCTGGCAGAACCCAATGGAACTGCAGGGTACCTCCCTCCTACAGGTTAAATGATCAATGAATGATGATAAACCAGATAAACCTAAATGGGCTTCTTAATGATTATAATTTGAATACCCAGGTGAACCTGACAGGACGTGAACATGTGCGGGGCACGTTTGTTTATGTTGTTGTGTTGTTTATTGTTTTGTTGTCTCCAGATGCTGCAGCTAAGTCTAACAGGTGAACAGGTGCGGGACATGTTTGTTGTTGTTATTGATGTTTGTTGTTGTGTTGTTTATTGTTTGTTTATTGTTCCCAGATGCCGCAGCTGAACCTGACAGGTGAACAGGTGCTGGACATGTTTGTTGTTATTGATGTTTATTGTTGTGTTGTTTATTGTTTTGTTTGTTGTCTCCAGATGCCGCAGCTGAGCCTAACAGGTGAACAGGTGCGGGACATGTTTGTTGTTATTGATGTTTATTGTTGTGTTGTTTATTGTTTTGTTTGTTGTCTCCAGATGCCGCAGCTGAACCTGACAGGTGAACAGGTGCGGGACATGTTTGTTGTTATTGATGTTTATTGTTGTGTTGTTTATTGTTTTGTTTGTTGTTCCCAGATGCCGCAGCTGAACCTGACAGGTGAACAGGTGCGGGACATGTTCATTAAGTACTTTGAGGAGAAACATGAACACCTGGAGGTCCACTCCTCCTCAACTATCCCGCTGGACGACCCCACGCTGCTCTTCGCTAATGCTGGGATGAACCAGGTTAGTTCATTAACTCATTAACTAGCCAGGTTAGTCCATTAACTCATTAACTAATCATTAACTTATTGATAACTACACCATCCCTCTGGACGACCCTACGCTGCTGTTCGCTAATGCGGGGATGAACCAGGTTAGTTCATTAACTCATTAACTAGCCAGGTTAGTCCATTAACTCATGAATCATTAACCTACAGATAAGCTATTGTCTTCTAGAGGTCATGCCATGTATTTTGGTACATTTGTAAATGAAATGATCTCTAGTACATCATCAGTTGTACAGTACTGATAATCCAGTGACTGATCCTCAGTCTTGTTAGCTTCCCAAGATCCACTTGTTGGCAGGATAGTAGATCTTGAAGAGATTGAACTAAAGCTACTAAGGCTGGACTCCAGACTAGCCTCCATGACCCGTGCTGAACTGGTAATATTTACCTTCCCTTTTATCCTAGCGACTTCCTTTGGAACTGCAGGTGTTTATTAGTGTTTGTGTTTATTCCCCACAGTTCAAGCCGATATTCCAGGGCACGGTTGACCCCAGTAACCCCATGGCGAAGTACCGCCGGGTGGTGAACTCACAGAAGTGCATCCGCGCCGGCGGCAAGCACAACGACCTTGACGACGTGGGCAAGGACGTCTACCATCACACCTTCTTCGAGATGTTGGGAAACTGGTCCTTCGGAGACTACTTCAAGGTACGGAGACTGTCTGATTCCTCCACCTAATCCATCTCTTCATAGTATACTTTTCCTGACATTGTGTGTGATTTTTGGTTACTTTCTTCTCAAGGTCAATAGACCTGGACCAGAGGGTTGTCACCATGGTAACTGGTGCTGTAGCAGAGAACTTGTGGTGTTGTATTACATTATGTAGCAATGTGGCAGGGTGCTGGAGGGGCTGGTCACCATATATAGAGATAGCACTAAGATTGTTAGGCAAGACTATATGAAGGTATAGTCTTGCCTAACAATCTTGGAGGTAAATGTTACGCATTTGAGTTCAAATGTTACCTTTCTTGTTTGTTTGTTTGTTTACTTCAGAAAGAGGCGTGTGCGTGGGCGTGGGACCTGCTGGTGAACGGCTACCAGCTTGAGAAGGAGCGGATGTATGTGACGTACTTCGGCGGCAACAAGGACCAGGGCCTGGAACCCGACCTCGAGTGCCGCCAGATCTGGCTCGACCTCGGGTGAGTCTTAATGCCTCCTCATTGGTCAGGGGTGCACCTGGGGTGAGTTGTTTCTGCCTCCTCATTGGTCAGGGCTGCACCTGGGGTTAGTCTTTCTGCCTCCTCATTGGTCAGGGGTGAGTCTTTCTGTCTTCTCATTGGTCAGAGGTAGTCCTTCTGTCTTCTCATTGGTCAGGGGTAGTCCTTCTGTCTTCTCATTGGTCAGGGGTAGTCTTTGATGTGAAGTAAGACTTTCCTGACTCTCCACCCCACCCCCCTTACAGTGTTGCAGAAGACAGGATCCTGCCAGGCAGCATGAAGGATAATTTCTGGGAGATGGGCGAAGTCGGCCCGTGTGGACCCTGCTCTGAGATCCACTACGACCGCCTGGGTTAGGGTCAGGGTTAGGGTTTTGTACTAACTGTATTTCCTGACTGTTGCAGTGTTGCTGAGGACAGGATCCTGCCAGGCAGCATGAAGGATAATTTCTGGGAGATGGGTGAGGTCGGCCCGTGTGGACCCTGCTCGGAGATCCACTACGATCGCGTCGGCGGCCGGGACGCTTCTCACCTGGTGAACATGGACGTGCCGGAGGTGCTGGAGATCTGGAACCTCGTCTTCATGCAGAACAACAGGTGAGATATACAGGTGTGGGACAGGTGAGACATACAGGTGTGTGGGACAGGTGAGACAGACAGGTGTGAGAGACAGGTGAGACATACAGGTGTGTGGGACAGGTGAGACATACAGGTGTGTGGGACAGGTGAGACATACAGGTGTGAGAGACAGGTGAGACATACAGGTGTGTGGGACAGGTGAGACATACAGGTGTGTGGGACAGGTGAGGCATACAGGTGAGACAGGTGAGACGGGTATCTGGATCGAGAATGATAGGGATGGATCATTAATGATCTTGGGGTGGGGTTGTAGCACTGACATGTCGGACTGGTCATTACTGATCTTGGGGAAAGGTGTAGCAAAGACCTATCAGGGGCTGTAGCACAGGCATCTATACAGTTTGTACATGTTTGTTTGTTTGTTTGTTTGTTAGAGAGCCGGACAGGAGCATCACCAACCTGCCTAAGAAGAACATAGACTGTGGGATGGGGCTGGAGCGAATCCTGTCTGTGGTGCACATTATTTACATGTTTGTTTGTTTGTTTGTTTGTTGTTTAGAGAGCCTGACGGAAGCATCACCAACCTGCCCAAGAAGAACATCGACTGTGGGATGGGGCTGGAGCGGATCCTGTCCGTCGTGCAGGGCGTTCTCTCTAACTACGACACCGACCTCTTCACTCCGTTCTTTGCTGCCATACAGAAGGTGGGGAGGATGAAAATTTCTAAATTTTTTACTTAAACAAGGAATGGCAGCCTCCCCCACTTCACTCAGTCCTCTACATCAAATCCACATCAAATCTATAACCTCTAATGTCAGACTTCTAGCCTTTAGTTTAAAGACTCACGAGCAGAAGCCATGGTTCTGGTTCTGATACTATTTTTCTGAATACCAAGAAGCAGTAAGTTGTATCGGCAAATTGACATTGAGTTTGGACCAGGCAGCAGATCTATCAAACCGCATCAATATTCTGGTAACCCCCCAACCACCCTCCAGTTGAATTACAGGCCACAGTAGAAATGTGCTTTTCCAGAAAAATAACCCTTGCCTCTGATCTTGTGCGTGCTTCTAACTCCTAAACTCTAATTCCTGACCTCTAACTCCTGACCTCTAACTCCTGACCTCTAACCTTGTGCCCCCAGGCCACTGGAGTTCGACCCTACACCGGGAAGGTCGGGTCAGACGACGCTGACGGAATCGACATGGCGTACCGGGTTCTCGCTGACCACGCTCGAACGCTAACCATCTCCATGTCTGACGGGGGCAAGCCCGACAACGTGGGGAGGGGGTGAGTACAGAAAACTGCACTGCAGGGAACTTTTCAAGTCCTATAAACTGTTCTTCCAACGTGAATACAACATAGCCACCATACAGACAACATGGGGAGGGGGTGAGTACAGCAAACTGCACTGCAGGGAACCTTGTTACAGAGCTACACCTCAAGCACGTTAAAGATCCCACCGCACTTATCGCAGGAGTGGGGGTCCTTCCCAGTGTGTGTGGCTCAAACCGTACAGTAGTATCTTGTACTTGCTGTACAAAACTGGTGTGTTATGCCTAAAGGCGGTTTATCAGACCCAGTTATGTGAAGCAAACCTTCCATGTCCCCAGGTACGTGTTGAGGCGAATCCTACGGCGCGGCGTGCGCTACGCGACCGAGAAGCTGAATGCTCCGCGGGGGTTCTTCGCTTCGCTCGTGGACGTGGCCGTGCAGACACTGGTAGGTCATCTCAAGGTCACCGGAATGAAACAAAACGTCTTTATCATTGACTGAGTTTGTAGCATTCTTAGCAATGTAATATTTTTAATACCCTTAGCATATATATATTCTCTGCATATGTGAGGCATTCAACGTCTGTTTAGTTCTTCTTTTTAGATCAAGGATGAGATTAACTTCGTATGTAAGCTTTGAAATGTTGTTTTGTTATAAAGGTTTTGTTATGGTCCTCTCATGGAAGTTGCATTGGTATGTTTATTTAGAATCTCCAAACAGCTTCTAAAACCTGTAAAGTTTTCTCTAAGTTTGGTCCTGCTGGCTTCTAGACCTTCTCCCTTCTGCAACAGGAGGTCAAAGGTGGTATAGGTCTAAACCAGAATTCCCTAGTCAGCTGTGACCTTGGTTTCCTTTGACCTTCCTAGAAAAGTTTTGCTGTGGCCCTCTCATGGAAGGTATGCTAGTATGTATTTAAAACTTCCCAATTGCATCCTAATTTCTAACCCGTAACTATGTAGTTTTCAGTAAGTTTGGTCCTGCTTGTTTCTTAATCTCCTGCGACAGGAGAAAGATGGTCAAATGTGGTAGGTCTGAAACATAATCCTCTAGTCATCTGTGACCTTGGTTTCCTGTGACCTTCCCAGGGCAGTGCCTTCCCGGAGATCACCAAGGACCCTCAGATGGTGAAGGACATCATCAACGAGGAGGAGGAGCAGTTCTTAAAGACGCTGTCTCGGGGACGCAGGGTTCTGGAGAAGAGAATCACCCAGCTGGGAGACTCCAAGGTCGTGCCAGGTCAGGGAGGTTTCAGCACCTTCTGTTGGAGTAAAAATCATGCTGACAAACTGGAATGTAGTAATGCAACAGCAACACTTGGTTCCTGGGTTAGTTAATGAGTTAATAAGTTAGTTAATAAGTTACTATGCCTGCAGGAGAGACTGCCTGGCTGCTGTACGACATCTATGGTTTCCCTTTGGATCTGACTAGCCTGATGGCTGGGTTAGTTAATGAGTTAATAAGTTAGTTAATAAGTTACTGTACCTGCAGGAGAGACTGCCTGGCTGCTGTACGACACGTACGGTTTCCCTGTGGATCTGACCAGTCTAATGGCAGAAGAGAAGGGACTGACGCTGGACTGTGCTGCGTATGAGGAGTGCAGGAAACAAGCTCAGGTCAGAAACTTCTCATCCCTGCCTGCTAACCATAGTAGGCTTAAGAACTCATCGGCACATTCTCTGCAAATATACAGAGTTTGGCACAATGAACACCATTCATTCAACAGGTTCAGTTAACCACTGATGACATGATGCTACTTGAAATGTTCAAAATGTATAAGAAACTGTTTTCTTGTGAACACTGATAGTGCTAGTGTTTCAACTGTTTGAGACTTAATTCTGTCACCCATTCTACGGACCCTTAAGTTTGCTTGTTTTTGAGATTACTCATTTGAAATATCCCTCTGAACAGATCCGTTCCCAGGGGAAAGGAGCGGGTGTAGACGACAGTGTTAACCTGGACGTGCACGCCATCAACGAGCTACAGGAGAAGGGCTTTCCTCCGACCGACGACTCACCGAAGTACCAGTACAGCCATGATGATAACGGGAACTATGGTAAGTACCGGTACAGCCATGATGATAACGGGAACTATGGTAAGTACCAGTACAGCCACGATGATAACGGGAACTATGGTAAGTACCAGTACAGCCATGATGATAACGGAAACTATGGTAAGTACCAGCCATGATGATAACGGGAACTATGGTAAGTACCGGTACAGCCATGATGATAACGGGAACTATGGTAAGTACCAGACAGCCATGATGATAACGGGAACTATGGTAAGTACCAGTACAGCCACGATGATAACGGGAACTATGGTAAGTCCCAGTACAGCCATGATGATAACGGGAACTATGGTAAGTACCGGTACAGCCATGATGATAACGGGAACTATGGTAAGTACCAGTACAGCCATGATGATAACGGGAACTATGGTAAGTACCGGTACAGCCATGATGATAACGGGAACTATGGTAAGTACCAGTACAGCCATGATGATAACGGGAACTACGGTAAGTACCAGTACAGCCATGATGATAACGGGAACTATGGTGGGTATAATTAACAAGCTTTCTAACAAGTTTCTCTTGAAACTTCTAGAAAAATTCCAGCCATACAACATTTTTGTTGAAATGATATCTAAAGAGAGGTGCCTTGCTGTGTTGTTAGCCTCGGCCTTGTGATGTTTGTAGCTTGGTTAGGTTTGAATTCTGTGTTATGCTGATTGCTCACTGCTGCCCCCTAGTGTTCCCGCCCTACACTGCAGCACTATGTTGTTACCCTTGTGCTGACTGCTCACTGCTGCCCCCTAGTGTTCCAGCCCTGCACTGCAGCCGTGGTGTCGCTGCGGAGAGACAAAAAGTTCGTCCAGGAGGTCACCACAGGTCAGGAGTGCGGCGTGCTGCTGGACCGTACCAACTTCTACGCCGAGCAGGGGGGGCAGATCTACGACGAGGGGTACCTTGTCAAGGAGGATGACGAGGTGAGGAGAGATGATGTCATCTTTCTTATCATCACAGTTACGATCATAGAAGGATGAAAACACACAGAATAACATCAGAAGAGCGTACTTCATGGATTTCAGTGATTTTGGGTGACGTATGGTTGAACGTGAAACACAAACTCTCCCCTTGCATGTCCCAGGAAACAGAGTTTACCGTGAAGAACTGCCAGGTGCGGGGGGGCTACGTCATGCACATCGGAACACTGGTCGGAACTCTCAAGGTCGGAGACAAGGTCAAACTCTTTGTGGACGAGGTAGGTGCAAATTGTTTGTTTGTTTGGTTGTTTATTTGTTAGCAGGGTTGAAAGTGTCACCACTGGATTTGTCTGGAATTTTGCCTTACCATCTCCCATCTGATGATGATGTTTTCGACACTTAAAAGACACGTATTTTGAAAATTATGCCCCCCCCCCAGGCGAGAAGGAGGCCCATCATGAGTAACCACACTTCCACACACGTGCTGAACTTCGCCCTGAGACAAGTCCTCGGCGAGGCAGACCAGAGAGGCTCCCTCGTCGCCCCCGACAGACTCAGGTTCGACTTCTCCGCAAAGGTGGGAAAGTTCCTTGTTAAATATAAAATAAAGTACTTTTACAGTGAGTTCATTGTGAGGTTTACAGTGAGGTTTACTGTACAGAAATCCTTCAGTATCACCTGTAGTTCTGTCCATGTAACACCATCTCCATCCCCCCAGATAGAACAAAAAGACTTAAGAACACTTTCATACATCAGTCCACCAGACTCTATAATCAGACTGTACATGTATAATCAGGATGGTACTTATTATGTTTGGAATGTACAGCTCATATTAGACATGATAAGTATGTATAGATGTATTTGT